CGAGCGCACAGGTTTTGGGGGGCTGCCGTCCCGCTCCGAGCAACTGCCGTATAGCAGCTGTACATGTACGGATACAGCTACCGAGTCCAGTTTCTGGAGGCGTCTGGCGAGAACCTCAGCCCCGAGTGGCAGCAGGATAATTCTTGAAGGGCTAGCAGGGCAAAGTTCCCTCACCTTCCTTCCCCCAAATCCACCCGGAAGTTTTTAGGACGCGTCGTACGTCTGCCGACGACTAGAAGGAACCCCCTCCAGCTGCATCCCTTCCATTCTTAGATGATACAACACGATCATAAGGACCCGAAAGCACGAGTAACTTAGAAGCTCAATCACTTGCGGCGGTGGCGGTGCTCTTCATCTGCCCTCTCCCCACCTCCTTCACTCCTACCTTGTAGACGTCCGCTGTTTGCGAATCCTTCCCTTACACACCGCACTCGCGCGCCGATAGCCACCATAGTCCGTTTCCCTCGCTGCCTCCCGCCGAGCCTGACCCTCTTGGCTGCCTCCAGGTTCGTTCCTTTAGTACGACAACAACCTCCCTTTGCCGTACATTCACCCACTCCCGGGCACCGCAATCCTCCAATCCCCATGCCTTTGCAGCTATTCACTCCACGGCATGCATGCACGCATGCCGGCCCCCTTAAGCGACGGGGGAGACCGCGCTACCGGGGCTGGCGGCGGCAGTGCTGCCGCGAGCACCACTAGGGAATGTAAGACGTCGGCCATCCCAGCTGACTCCAATTCCTCGACTTCGAAGCGCCAGGAAGTCATCATGCGAAACATTTACCATAGGTACGTCAAGTACGGCAGCCATCTGACGCCGTACATGGGATGCAAACAGCCGTGGATCCTGCAAGGATGCAATTCCGTAAAAATTATGGATGAAAAGGTTGGCGACTTGGGTAATGTTTTGGCTGCAACATGATCCATTCCGTTAATCGGTAACCGATAGTCAACGGTCAATTGCCGTCGTTTGTCTCCGAATCTCTCCGCCTCCGAAAACTGCACACCACTCAGATTGAAGCCACAGGCTCAGCGGCGCATGCATACTAGTTTATGGCAGCACCAAAAACAAGATCATTCACCTGCAGCTCGTCCTCACTCGGCTTGTACGGGGGCAAAATTTCAACTTCCAGATCATTGCGGAACTGGCTCACGAGACGCAGGAAATGCCAGCGCTCGTTATGAATGGTCCACGCCGGATTGAGTGCGCGCCAGCGGAACCTGTACAACATCCAAACATTCAAATTCATATCGTGCAGAAAGGAAAAGGCCCAAAGCATGGCTGGCCAGATAACAAGTCAAAACTTGGAGATGTTACTTTTCCTGAAACAGAACCATTTGCAAAAATCTAGGTCAGGGCTTTTCCACTTGGCAAACGACAGCAACACCGGCCTGACTCAACGCGCGCTATTCCCAGCCGGTCCCTACGGTCAACATGGGAACAATCAAGAACAGTCAACGCGATGCGTCCAGCTGCTATAGTTCCAGCGTCTTCCAGGGAGCCACGGGGGAGAAGATGAAATGAGGGAAGATCCAGGCACCCCGACTCCTCGGTGAACCGCTGGTGTGAATAAGTCCACGCTACGGAGCGAAAACACAATACAACATATAATCGGCGCACCTGCCGGGTAGGAGCAGACCCGCAGCCGAGCAGGAAAGCAGGCGGACGCGCTTCTCTACCTGACCGGCTCACTCACCGGAAGCATATAGGCAGCACCGGCCGCCGCAACACAAAGGCTCCCGTTCGAAAGTTGAGCAGGCAGCGACCGTTGGCGGTTGTGCCCTCCGGCGCCATCACCAGCATGGGGAATCCACCTGACTTGCAGTATAATGGGTGGTTGACCCGCCGTTGCAGCACCTCCGTCACCCTGGAGCCTACTGCTTTTTGGTTATGTTGGTTGTGACGGTTGTGAATGTTGTTGCTCCTGGCGATGTCTTCGTTGCTGCAGCACGGCCTGTTGCTGCCAACTGGGTTGCTACTGTGGTCGAGCATGACCTGGCGTTGTCGAGTGCATGACTCCCCGTCGCCGTCACAAGCGGCAATAGTGCCGGACGTCCACGCCGCTGCTAGAGGAGCGCCCTGGCGCGCTTTTTTGGCCTCCGACGGCTCCTTGGCCGCATCGGCCACAGCGTCTGCTACTGCGACACCGGAAGATCCCGCAGCAGGAGCCGCTGCCGATTCAGATCCGGGCGCAGACTTGGACAACTTATTGTACGGGATGTAGACGGTTTGTAACGCCCGTACGGCCTGACTAAGGACCGGGAGACGGCTGTTGCTCTCCTTGCTGATACCAGAGGGGGCCATCAGCCACACCAGCACGAACGCATCCACCCAGGAAACCTTGTTGCCGTTGTTGAGGTGTCGGCGGGCAGTAGGGGGGGGGAGGGCATTGCGGAATGTGCTTATGAGTGAAAGATTTTGTTTAGGGAGACTAGTAATTTATTTACCAGGAGAGGAGAATGCCCTGATCTGTGCTTGGAAAACCCCTGCCACTCATCGGGAGGTGGACAGGTCCGTGCAGAAAAGAGGTGTTGGCAAGCATGGCAAGAATCTGAGGGGTATTGTAGATTGGTTTTCAAGATTCTTGCAGCAGCCGGAGTGAGACCCATGAGGCAGCAGCCGTCGGTGCTGGTGGAAGGATGCGTTTTAGGCCCAGGTGCTATTAGTTTTTTTCCAAATTCTGGGCCTGTCCCCGCGACGCACGGAAGAAAGCCTTCAAATATCATATGAGCTATATATGTGTATGCAGGAAGCACGATGGCGTGAATATGTTGGGCGAGAACATGCGGCGAAGGCATCGCCGCTTTCGCACTAACCTACATGATTGAAAACGGCGACGGCTCCAAGGCGCTCCGCAATTTTGATGTTCTCCCGTCCTCTGATTCGAATGCGGAACCCAAGGCACCTGGCGGGGGCGAAACCTGCCAACTGAAACTGGGATGTCCCGGCTCATAATCCGTCACAACCCCATCTTACCAGAGGGTGATAACGACCAGCTCCTTGCTTAGCACCACTATGCGCCTCCGCCATGGTGTAAGTGGGACTTCTGGTGGCCAATTCCAGGCCGCAAGGCTGTTAATAATGGCAATTGCTACGAGTGCAAGCCCTCCGATGGCAATACGCAGCGGCAAGAGAGGTAGGAGCAATGCCATTTTAAATGCTTCATATAAAGTAAAGGGGCAACCTAATTCAATGAAGGGAGAGGTTGCAAGGTCTTCCGTGGTGTCGAGCCCTAACAACATTTTGGGTGTTTTGTTCGCGGAGGAATACTAATGAAAACTATTATGTCTTTTATACTGTAGAAAGCTGAGGAATTCTTCGGCATACATTCACGATAAAACTCTGCACGGCTGCTCTACCATTGAAGGTAACGCTCGCGTTCTTCATCGGCGCTTCGAAGCGGACCATACCACAATTGTTCGAGCAGCACTTTACCTACATATGCCTGCTTTCTTGGCAAAACACATGGCCGAGGAATCAGGCTCCGAAGCACAGGAAAATGATTCGTTTGAAACCCACGCCAAACGTTAATAGCCTGGCAGACCCCAAGGTATTGCAGCAGGAACAGTTGAAGCGCTTGCTGGTTGCTTGCATTCCCTAAGCACGCGTTTTAAACCCCAGGACCTGCCATTCCCGGCCCGAATACGGTGGCGGACCCTCATGTAAGGAACCTTTCGTAAATTTAATTGATTGATTCCAGGAGGAGACGATATGAAACAGAAGTTTGCTCCCACGAAAGCTCCAGGGTCAGCGGATGCCTGAGCAAGCAACGTTAGTCCCTCCAATTGTCTCACAGCAGGAAGCTATCACAAGAGCTTATGTAAATTGGGATAACAGTTCTCTGGTGACCAACTAAGCGGACATAAACCAAGTGCGAGGCATTGACCGTGATGGCTCCCCAACAACTGGGACTACCCAGCGCCACCACACATCAAGCCCCGAAGCAATTTATCAAGAACTCTCGTACTGAACAAGGGAGTGCTCCACAGACCAACTGTGAGCCCAAGTATTATCTCCCCCCCCCCGTCCAACCTCATAACTGTTGGTGAGACGCTATCTCACAGGGACCTAGCAGACACGACTAAGGAGACATTAGCCGTTACACGTATTCGGGAGATCCGCGACCTACCACCGAAAGCCCCTTTGCCTAGGCGTAAACGTGTGAATCTGAGGTACTGTTACCGATAAACAGCAGAGACTTATAAAGGCTTGGAAAGCCTATCCCAAAGGACGAGAGCTACCGGTACGCTAGAACTTAACAGCCGTTTTGACGGGCCTCCCGAGACAGGTCCAAAGCTGTCACTCAGTCTAACATACGACCTCAGACCGGCCTCAGCTGTCACTCACGATAGTCTGACAAGTTACCCAAACAGGCCACAGGGCGACACGGCAATCCTTCGCATCAACACGCCCCCTCGTGTCGCACTAGGGGCCTTACTACAAATTGCTAGTACCGACGAGCTAGATCGGCCGACAAGTCCGCGGTCCAGGCCGACTGCTCAACACTCAGCAGATACAAACGCAGCTTGCCAGCCTTCAGCCTGATGGCTATGCGGTCTGGCGCTGCTGTACAAACACAAACAGGGAAAACAGTGCCGTACAACACCAAACGCACTGCCTACGGCGCCCCTTCGGGCATTAACCTGCCCATTCGGGCGCCTGCTCACGCCCCCTCAGCACCCCCTTAAAGTCTAGCTCAAAACAAGTCCTCAAAGCCCTCAGCACTCCTCCTCTGGCGGTCTAAGTGACGCCCAGCGCTGTGCGGCAGCGCACGAACTTGACCTCGCCCAGTGCCTTGGTTAGGATGTCAGCCACCATGTCGTCGGTGGTGCAATAGCTGAGCTTCACCTCACCACGCGCGACCCTCTCGCGCACGATGTGGTGGTGCACGACGATGTGCTTGGAGCGCACCGACGTGATGGGGTTGTTGCCGAGGCTGAGCGTGTTTATCCAAAATCACACACTGCGAAGCAACCGGTGATGGCTGCTTTGGCGGCCGTGACCAATTGCAAGTTGTCCGCCGCCACCAGCATGTTGTCAACGTGCACGAGCACATAGATTGAGCTGTCGGACCCGCGCTTGACGAATAGCGCGGGGTCGGACATAGACGGCCCATAGCCTAGTTTGCCCAACACCGCCACCAGTTTCTCGTATCAGCAGCGCGGGGCTTGCTTGAGATCGTAGACGGACTTTGACATCCGCCACGTTTTGACGTCCACCTGATGGACCGTCATACCCCTGGCCGCTGCCACAGCCAGAAGTGCCCGCAGGGAGGTTGCACTGTTGCCTCCGCCGTTAGTACTGCTGTCAGGCACGCTAAAGTCAGCGCGATCTGTGCTACCCGACGCTTTACTAAGCAGCGGTAGTCCACCCAAATCTCCGCCGCCGCCGCAGCTGTTGTCGGCCGCACTGATTGGGGCCAGCGGCGGGTGCAGCGGTTGCCGTTGACTGCAAGTGTTAGGGCGGAGAGCGGACGCTGGGTTGACTGGGGGCGGGGCGTCCACTTGAATCGGCGGTGTGACAGGCTGTGTAGATCCGCCGACGGGGTCGTTGCCGCCAGGACGGGCGGGGCTGGCGCTGAAGGGGGTGCCCGCCCGCTGAGACGCCAGGCCGCCGAGGTCGTCATCGAAGGTGACATCGCTGCTAACAGTCACCTTGCCGTCGATGAGGACGCGGTGGGCGGCCGTGCCGCGCTCCGGTCCAAGGTAGGTTCCCGCCTCTGCGCGGGGACTGAGCTTATCCTGCAGTTTGCCGTCCGGTTGACCTTCGCCGGCGTCACTGCTGCTGGCGCCGTTCGGCTGGTCTCCGCCAGCATCATTGCTGCTGACGCCGTTCGGCTGGTCTCCGCCGGCGTCACTGCTGCTGGCGCCGGCGGCAAATCCGCCAGCGCTGCTACCTCCGCCGGCTCTGACTTCCGCAGCGCCGAGCGCACTGACGGCGCGTTTGGTCGGCGCTAGAAGGTCCACGTCCCTGACGTAATGCCCACGCTCGCTCCACGCGGTGATAGACGAACCGCCGTGCGGCAGGCCTACGCGCGAGAACCGGCGGCCTGACTTGTCCGTGCCGAACGTGACTGAGCAGCCGCGCGTCACGAGAAGGTCGACAGACATGAGCGTCAGTCCCGAGCTGGGGACATGGAGCACGTTGCGTAGCAAGACGGTTTCTCCATCGCGCGTCCGTAGGAGTAGCTGCCCTGTCCCCATGACGTCGGCTAGCTGGTTGTTCCCCCACTTAATTTGCTTGGGCGCGCCGGCAGGAACGTAATTATGCAACAGCGAGCGGTCACCTGTAAGGTGGCAAGGCGAACCAGAGTCTAGGACAACACGTGAGCTGCTACCACTGCCATCAACGACCAGCACCGTGGCACGGTTCTGGCGTGAGCTTACACCGCCGCCGCCGCCGCCACTGCTTCCGCCAGCAGTGTCGCTGCCACTGCGGCGGCCGTTGCCGCGTCTAACACGGCCGCGTTCGCGCGTCCTGTCGCCCCCGCTGTTATTGCCGCCGCTGGTGCCTCCGCCGCCTCCATCACGATGGCGGTTGCCGCTGCCACTGCTGCCGGCGCCAGTGCTGCGTGGCTGCTCAAACGCATTGCTGCGGTAGAGGCCTACGGACACGTCCGCCTGCTTAAGGGGGCACTCACGGACATAGTGCCCAGGCTGTCCACAGTAGCGGCAGGTGTCGTTGGCCCCCGTGGCGCCCGAGGCGCCAGCAGCACCGCGGACTCCACGGGCGGTGCGACCAGGGCCAACAGCTCCAACCAGGCCGGACTTGACTGCTTGGGCCTTCAGGTTGTTCTCCTTCTCCCGCAGCATGAACACGAGCTGCGGGGTAGTCAAGTTGGGCAAATACATCGCGAACTCTACAGTAATAGCGTACTGTGGAGGCAGACCGTGGAGAATTGCATGACGCATGACGCCGAGATAATGTCACTGCGGAGCTGCTCCGCCCGCTGAATGAAGTCAGCAGTCGTCTCGTCGTCGCGCATGTACAGCTGCTTCTGCGGCTCTAGCAGGCTAAGCCGGGCCTGAGAGGCAGAACGGAACTGCAGCTGTAAGAGCTGCATGGCGGCGAGAGTCGACTGACAGTTCCTGAGCAACTGCTTTACTGGCAGTTCGCAGGATAGACGCAGGTAGCCAAGCGCCTGGGCATCTTCCTCCAGAGCGTCTTGCGCATTGCGTCCCGGTGGCGACGGGTTGGTCATATAGCTCCGCAGCTTAGATGTAGCAAGGAAATCACTGAAGTCTCCTAGCCACTGTGAGTAGTTAGACCCGTCCGCTAAGAGGACGGTCTTACACCCTTTTCCCATGTCGCTTGCCTAGCGAGCCTCCCTGCTCAAGCTAAAAGCAACTATAGATAGTAACCGCCGGGAACCGTTACCCGGGGCTCATAACCTGTTGGTGAGACGCTATCTCACAGGGACCTAGCAGACACGACTAAGGAGACATTAGCCGTTACACGTATTCGGGAGATCCGCGACCTACCACCGAAAGCCCCTTTGCCTAGGCGTAAACGTGTGAATCTGAGGTACTGTTACCGATAAACAGCAGAGACTTATAAAGGCTTGGAAAGCCTATCCCAAAGGACGAGAGCTACCGGTACGCTAGAACTTAACAGCCGTTTTGACGGGCCTCCCGAGACAGGTCCAAAGCTGTCACTCAGTCTAACATACGACCTCAGACCGGCCTCAGCTGTCACTCACGATAGTCTGACAAGTTACCCAAACAGGCCACAGGGCGACACGGCAACCCTTCGCATCAACAATAACAACCAAAATCAACACGGGAAAGAGGGGCAGCTGAAATTGAAGCACAGCGCGTCCTCCAGGAGGCACTTTATCAGTTCATGAACGCTATTACCGTATATACATACATGTATACATGCATGCATACATACGTAAGGTAGTGTGTCCCCAGCGGGAAAAAACATAAGGCCCGGCCCGCCTGTTGTTGTAGTACCAGGTTTGCCTTGGCCCCACCCGCATTCGTCGTCAGTTGTTGCATTATAAATTCCCGTTTCCCTTCCAGAACGATACACAAACATCCTGACCGTACCCCTTGCGGAAAGCTTCTCCACAAACGCCGCATACAGTCTTGCACACCAGCACGCTCAGATAGATTGCTGCAATTTCCATTACGTCGTACGCGTCATGTAAATCGACGTTGCGACTGTGAAACATATTTCAATGATCGGTCTACATGCACGCGCGCGTGTATGTGTATGTATGTGTGTGTGCCGCTTGCGTATACATACGCATAAACTCCCCTCACCAAGCAATGGTACCCAGCAATGCCATCACCAGCCGCTGCATCACGTCAGGGCTCAGTAGAGGCCGCCCCCGCCGCCATCATCGCCCTGCGGCTCACTGCACACATCTGGAGCCCACTGTAACAACCACACACATCCTGACACCAGACCGCACATACACCACCACCACCACCATCAATATAAATACCATCATCATCATCATCATCATCATGGAGCGCCTGGTCACCACACGCACGCCCCTGTCACACACTCTCCCTTGTTTTGTTCCCCCAAAGAATGGATGGGCGCTAAGAATAGACATCGTTTGATTCCTCCTCCCCTCCTTCCCCATCCCTCCTTCCCCATCCTCCTTCCCCTACCTCCTGCACACACACCCATTCGTTTACCGCTCGCCTCCCCTACTCCCCTCGTCCCAGAGCCCCGACGTGGAGTCCACCCGCCCACTTCACTCAACCCACTGCGGCAGCTGGGCCACATCGGGATCCTATCGGGGTCTGCGCTCCCGCTGAACCCTACCGAGGGAAACCAACCCCGCATCGCCCCCCCCCATGCACGCACGCTCCGAAAACACCGTAAACCCTCCGCCTCAACACACAATTTCCCAAACTTCCTCATAAACCCTAAAAATCACGATACTCATCCAGAGATACAAATTACCTCTACAGGAAGGATCGCTTGAAAAATCTCGCCACCTGTTCAAACTTCCTAACTGCAGGAGGTTAACCAACCAACCAACCAACTAACTGCCATGGTGTTTCCACGGCGTTTAGCTTCCTCGGTGTCTCAGCCCTCCGCCACACCGCCACCGAAGCTCCCGGCTGCTGTTGCTGCTGCTGCTGCTGGTGTTGCTACTCCTGGGCTCACTACGTTCCACTCGACCAGAACCCACACGCCCCCCTGCACCCGCAACCGGTGAAGGGAGGCATTGGCAATGGCGCCGCCGTACACACGGCCAACCGCGTGCCGATAAACCGCATGCAGCACGCCGCCATGCGCCACCACCAGCACCGTGCGGCCTGCGGCGTCCGCATTCGTACGCGGGAATTGCAATACAGCCGTACATTAGCTACACACGGGCAAAAATGGGCATCAGCCACGAAAGAATCAGCTTAACGACCCACACGACAGCGCTGCTGCGCCTGGCAATCGGGCATTTGAATCAACCACCTGTTGCCACCTGCAGGGGCGTGGAACACACACACGCACAGTCTCTCTCTCTCTCTACACACACACAGTCTCTCTCTCTCTACACACACACACAGTCTCTCTCTCTCTCTCTACACACACACACACACACACACACTCTACACACACACACACACTCTACACACGCACACGCGCGCACACACACACACACACACACTCTCTCTCTGCCAAATCCACACACATGCTAAGACCCGCACTCGCACTCGCACACCTGCAACTGCACACCGTCTTTTTCCTCTGCTTGACCTACTGGTGCCTTATGTACATATTTCCCCGCCGCCAGTGAAAATAAAGTGAAGTGAAGTGAAAACACACCTATCGAGACAGCAGGTTCCCGCTCGCCCAGGCACTCACCAGCGTCCGCAGCACCACCCACCCACCCACCTACCGGGGTGCTCCGAACAGATTCGGTCAATCTCCGCCACCACCCGCCGCCGCATCGCGTTAACGCTCTCACCGCCGCCCGGGAGCGCTGTGTCCTCGTCTTGGCCGCGAAGAAGCCGGCACGCGTCACTTTGCCGTACAGCGGCCTCGCGCATCGTCAGCCCCTCCAGCACCCCGAGCGCCCGCTCACGAAGCGCTATGCTTGTATGGATCTGCGGATGTACGGCATGGGTACGGCGGCGGTACGGGCGCGCTGCGCAAACGGAGGCAGAGCGGGGGATTCCAATACACACACGCACGCACATGCATAGGAATGATGCATGATGCAGCGAAATCGAAGTGAGGTATGGAGCTCCGGTTGTTGGCTGGTTGCTTTGTTAGCTGCTTTTCATGGAAAATGTGTTGTTATGCCGTACATACCTGTACAACGCTCGGCCTGCCAGCTACGATGGCCTCGGCGGTTTGTAACGCCCGCTTGAGATCCGAGCTGTAGACTGCATCAAAGGGCTCCTCCCGCAGCGCCGCTGCCAGCTAGGGAGGGGGGTTGCCGTCGTGAAGGGGTACGTCGATGTTGTTGGGGTATGTTGGGTAGATGTTTTAAGGTATGGTCGGGTGGACATCGCAAAGGAATGTCCACGAGGGGGAAATGAGGAGCAAAGGGCGATCACCTCGTCACGGGGACCAGAGTGCACCAGACCTCTGGGACATCCGGGGGTGGCACTCCTGTGTGGGATTTCTACCGGATAATAACTATCCGGTAGCTTTTAGATAACGTGGGCAGGCCGAGGATGCCGCATTTTGACATCCTCACATTCGAGCTCGCGCGCGCCTTCATGAGAGCAGCAAAATTCGCGAATCAGGTTTGCCGCACAACCGGAACTACCTGAAGCGCAGCTGCTTAAGGACCCCGCCCATTCACCCGCTGTTGTACCGCGAGCAATTCTGGCACATGTATGCCCACGACGAACCTCCGCTGCCTGTTGCCGGCCCTGTTCGTTAAGCTCCGGATCCATGTGGCCTTGAAGCCGCATTTCCGCGTTCCAATTCGTCTGGCCGTGTCGCACTAGCACGACGTTTGTCGCAGCTGCTGAATCCATTCGCCCCAGGAGTTTCCGCCGCCTCTACAGGCAAGAATAGTTTAATTCCAAGATTTTATGGAATCATTAATGTTGCACGCGTAGCAAGAAGCGGGATTTGATCCGTAAACATTGTACAAATATGTTACCTGCAAGTCCTGCGCATCTCTCCGTTCGGAGCGTGTAGCCATTTACATGGCTTGGCAGATGTGATAAAAGCTAACCAGACTTTACGTTAAAGCTGTCCGTCGGATGATTTGGATTTTACCGGTTTCTTTCGGTTAAAACAGCAACGACCGCCAGGCTCCTGTTGGATTGTGGAATTATCCACGCAAAAATCCGCCTCATTTTTTACCTGCCATGGATAATCTACTCTGGCGTATCATGGCACGTTGACGTTTCGCGCAGAACATGGCGAAGTGCCAGTATAGCTCCTGCATGTATACAACAGCCTCTGCCTCAGGCCGCCAGTATCTCTACAGTGTAATCTCTTTCAGCCGTCACCGATCTTCCGGCGCAACTGTCATGCCTATCTGCTGTCGCCCTAGGGCGCTGGGACGCCGTCCGTCAACCTGCTTCCATTGTTCGCTCCTGACTGCCCGAAGTTTCAACAATATGTGTACATAGATTATCTTAACACCTAATATGCAGCCAGCAGCAGGCGAAGGTTTGTGGACGATTCGCCTCCTCATGCCAAAGTGACCCGAGGGTCCAACCTTGGCCTAAGGAACGCGTCGCGCGTAGTCTAGCAGGAAGGCAGATAATGTTTGTGGCTTCACGTTATTCCTCTTCTGCGGGGCATCTTTATGGCAGCGCCAAGACTCTTTCCGAAAGGCTTACATTTGCATTCACAGCTACGTCCGATTTGTCGACCATCCAAATTCAATTACTCCCTGAACATACAAATTCAAGTATTCCCTGCAAAAGCAAGTAATCAGCAACATGCTGCTGAGCAAGGATTCCAGTCGGCAGCTATCCCTTTCTGGGCCAGAGCTTCATAAAGTCGGGCCGATGACGCGCCTCAGCATGGCTACTGCGATGCAAATGCCAAACCTCATCTTTACTCTGAAGAAACCACAATGCCAGTCCTGCGCGAATTCTCCGTTATCATTAGCAGCGGCGACGGCGGGCGCAGTTGCAGCAGGAGGAACAGGAGCGCGGTGCCTGCGGACTTCTTCAACGCCTGGATCGCCGTCAAGGAGTCGCGCCGGCGGTGGCGCTAGAGCTTCAATGTCAGCTTTTGCGACCTATCGCAGCCACAGTGGGGAAGGTCTCTACAGCTCTCACGTCCCACGAACCCCACCACTACTGTCGCTACAGCTGCTGCCAGGTGCCCCACCCCAACGGCGGGGGGCCTCTCTGGAGCCGTTTACAAGTGCGGTGGTTGCCAGCAGCAGCAGTAGCAGCAGAGCCGGCTTTGGCAACAGCTACAGTCGCGCGAACGGCTTCGATGACGTGAGCCACTTGGGCGCGACTGGCGCCGAGTTTTGTAATCCGCCTAAATAGTCTGTCGTCGTTGTTGTCATTCGTATATCGCAGTAGTGTTTAGATCACATATTTTAAGGCCCCGGGCAGTATGATGGGCCCGTGGTTTCAATGGGATGGCTCGGATGGACGATTGTGACGGTGAGGACGAGCTAGCGAGGGATGGTTAAACCGTGGTTCACCTTGCATGACTCCGGGTCGCTTAGGCCGTTATGTGTCTGCAGCCCCACGGAAGGTGCCCTACTGGGCATCCCGGCGTGAGTTGGTGGCACGTCCAGCACTACGGCATTGCGTACGTGCCGTCATGTAGTCGCCAAGGTGACAGTTGACACGGTTAATGCGTATACGCAGCAAGTCCAAGTCCATGTTTGCAACCCTTTTCCCATTTGCCATTTATCCGCATCATGGCCCAAACCACTGCCAACTGCTCATTACCAAAACCGACAACCGCTGATCACCAACCACCAGATGGGTAGGATGCAACAGCTCCAGGGCCAGGTGCGTCCTAAGTTGGACTCTGACAGTTGCTGGTTGAGGGTTGAGGAGTGCAGAGCAGACCAGGATTAAGCATTGCACCCAAATGTGTATTGTGGAGATGTATTTGGATGGTAGAGGGCACGGTGGGAGGTGTTGAGGTAGGAGACGCGTCGTACGAAGCGTCGTACGAAGCACCACACCAGAGCACAGCTGGGGTAATCCATGTATGTGCGCAAGTGTGTGTCGAAAGGTGCATGTGGGCGGCGTGTGTGTGTGCAGTTCATGTAAGATGCAGCCTGTCAGCCTGCGAGTGTGAACGAGTGATTGCTACAAACAATCTGCTGCTGCTTTTGTCTGCTGTTGTCGAGCGACCCACGGGTCTGTTGCCTCACAACTGTAGGTCTTTGAGCTGAAGCAGCGACTGGTGGAAGCGGAGGTGAAGCGGCAGGTAGGTGCGGTATATGTGGCGGTTGGGAGTTGGTTGGTTGACAGTTAAACGGTTGCAATCCCTAGCGTGCTGGTGCTCTTGTGATGGACAGCAACTGGACACCAGGACGGCAGTCCTGGAGCTGCGACGGCTCACAGGAAAGCTATAAAGTATGTGTAAGGTGCAACATGGCCAAACTGCCTTGGAGCTGTGGCTATCTGACTGATCGCATCTGGAGAGCTGCAAGGGCCACAAAGAGCTGTAATCCTGAAGAGTGTCACGACTTGCCCCTACCTGCCCCTACCTGCGCCTACCTGCGCCTATCTGCGCCTACCTGCCCCTACCTGCCCCTGCCCCTACCTGCCCCTACACCTACGGCTTGGCATTACTGCTTTTCTTCTGGCTTATTTTAGTCTTGGCGGCTAGGTAGGTAGTTTTCCGACATCTTCTTCACTACGTCATCCCGAGGTCGCCGCCTTCAAGAACGCCTTTTGGTCAGTTCTACGTCTGGTACACTCTTGCCCTGGCATCAGCCTCACTAATTCGTGGTTCGTCTTTCCCCTACCTGCCCCTACCTGCCCCTACCTGCCCCTACCTGCCCCTACCTGCCCCTACCTGCCCCTACCTGCGCCTACCTGCGCCTACCTGCGCCTGCAGCCTTTTTGGCTTCAGTTCGGGTCCACAGGAGATGTATGTATCCCGCGGGCCCCCCAAACCATCCGCCCATCCGCCCTCCCGGCCAGTGACAGAGTTGGGCAGTCGAGGCACCCATCAACCACATATCAACGCTTTTCCTCTCTTGCAAAGCGGCCTGCAGACTAGCCTTACACGCACCTTGGCACTGCGGTTGGGCCTCTGGATTGTTCCAGATTCAATTCCTGTTCTGACTTACCCACAAGCTGCATACGGCTGTAAAATGGCCGACTCGCCTACTCTTACTGCCCACGCTTCCATCGGGGCCCCTAATTGCTGGATGTTTGCCATGTATCGGCGGTACTTGATAATTTGCCCTCTCTGCGGGTAATGATGGTGGTGGTGGCGGCAGGCGGCGGAGAAGGACGCAAAGGAGTCTCAGAATGGCAGGCAGCAGCTGGAACGCCGGCTTACGCTGGTAGGCAGGTTGCATGTGCGGCAGGGGGTGGAAGGGGGGAAATGGAAGGAGGTTAGGTCCAACAAACATATGTACGGCACCCCGACCGCTGCCAATGTCGTTCCATGAAAATCCTAGGGACATGTATGTGTATATTATACTCCTTGAGTTGCGTTACCCTCCAGGAGTGCAACGGCCATGGCTCACACAAAGAAATCCCACACAGCCTCGCACCCTTCCCCTTCCTCCCCTCCTCCGCAATCCGACCGACGAAACCAAATAGACCCGCTGGTTGCTGGCAGCCGTGTCATTTGTCCTGTTGCTGGCGATAGGGGCGCTGGCATGGGCCGAGCTGGAGTCGCCGCCACTGGGCACCATGACCTTGGCCACAATCACATCTCCTGCTGGCGCTGGTCGCCTGCTGGGAGGTGCTGGCGGCGGTGACAGTGGGGGGGGTGTCCTGGGCACGTTGGTGGCACTCGTTGCGGCGGTGGGGCAATATATAATGTGCTTCACTCAGGCGCTAGCGGGGTATCTAGGGCGCAGCGGCGTATCCTTTTGATAGGCGCGGGAAAGTAAATGGAGGTCGAAAGTAAATGGAGGTCGAGAAGGAAGGCTGAGGTGTGACTGATGCGGCTGAGGCAGCCGAGGAAGGATCCGTAGAGGATGAACCGGTTTAAACGTAACAAGGTGATATGGGCAGGTGATGAACTGGGCTCTGTTGTAGGGTTGTTTAATCTTTGGGTTCGTTCGATAGGTGGCAGGGGTATGGCTCAGCTAGGGAGGCCGAATTGGGCGGAGTTTTAGTTATGAGCTGAAAGCTTTGCAGTTAGTAGTTCGACGCGGCTTAAGGTTTTTCGTGGGAAGGCGGCAAAGGGATAAGCAAGAAGGACAACGATGAGCCTCAGGGTAAAAGTCATGAACGCTAGGTGGTAGTGCAGATAGCACAGACGTGTGCATATGTAGTCAGATCATGCGCGAGATGATGTGAGGTGAGGGAACATGCATATTGGAGGAGCAGGAGGAGCAGCAGCTGCTGCTGAAGCTGCTGATACTGCCAAAACGGCTGTTGCGCCTACACCACCACCAGCACCAGAAGCACTACAGCCACCAGCACCCATGCAGTTGCAGAGCTTAACGAGTACTCATCTTGAAATGGAAGGGGTTGCCCGTTCCCTCGCGTCCCGGAGGTACGACACCAGCCTCACCTGGCGCATACGTATTACAAGATTTACACACACTTCCGTTGCGTCGCAATGACGCACAACCTACTTCCCCATCACCCACCCACCAACTTACAAAATGTAGTATTCTGGGTGAACACCTTATAATCACAACGAGCGAGCCAACTATTCCTGAACCCTCCCCCGGCCTTTTCTACGCATAGGAACACACACACGGACACACGTGTACATGTGCCTGCGGACACCGCATCGGCCTCTGAAAAGGCCTATCGAGATGCTGATCATGCGCTTCGCGGATTATTTGTAGTTGGTATGTGTCGTATGCTATGTACAGCTACTACATTCCCCCCCTTTGAAGGGATCCGTCTCGGGCCCTTACGGCCCCATACACAAGCCTGTGCCTACCATTGCCTACCCCGGGGCTGAGGGTGCGCAGTCCACGTCACGTAAGCGCCTAGATGTCTTTAGGTTTTCGGGCACAGAGTCTTCCCAGGCAGCCACAGCTACATTTTGACTCGAGTTTTCCTGCAATGACAGTCATCTATCCCGATATCCACTTTTTGTGGATCGTTGGAGTCGATAACAGGATTGCAAACATGTACGTACATGTTTGCAATCCTGTTATCGTATGTATACAAGGTCTCGATACCAATTGTAGTAGCTGGCCACTGAAAAGGCCTCTTGGGATACTGATCGAGCGCTTCGCGCGGATTTGTAGTTGATATGTGTGCCGCACTGTGTACCAGCTACTACAAGCCAGCTAGTCCACAGTCCGAGAGCTAAGCAGTCATGCATTGTTATAAGCACACGCAGTGAAATGCATGGGGAGCATCGTGGCGTCTACACAGGGATCAGGGAGATGATAGTACGACGCTTGACCTAACACCCTCAGTGATGCGGAGGTGAGGGTGGAGAGGCTGTGTCCGTGGGCCCCTTGAGCACCACACGTGTATGCGGGACACACAAGACATGTAAGGGACAGGGGTTGCCGCAACATCCGTTGCCGGCCTTGTTCGAGCGCCGCTACTTCCCACCACACAAGAGGGTGAAGTCCCGATGGGGGAATGGCGATTCACAGGCAACGCCGTTGGGGGGCCGTGAGCAGTACACCCCCCTTTGCCCCCATCGCTATGGCCCCATGGCCTCCTGTAGTGTCCATGCGACCCACCGGTCCCAAAGCGGATGGCGCCGTACCCAGCGTCAGTGCCCCAGCCCAGAAACCGCCGTACGACACGGGGAGCATATATTTGATGCCGGCCCCTGGGTGCCACCGCTACAGCCGGCCTAACTGGTCACTACGGAAAACCCTGTTATCCCACCTACAGCAAGGCGCCGCAGTGGCTCCTTATGGCGGTTCTCCCAGCTCAACCGCCACAAGCCCTGCAATCCAGCCCTGAACGTGGCCAGAGCATCCGGGGCTGTAGCATATAGTGGCTGATTTGGCCGTGTGAGTTTCAGCAGGTGCAAAGGCGGGGCATTAACAGGCCGAGTGATTTTTCCTCAACTTTGTAGCCGAGGTTTTTGTAACTAAGCTTGCGATCACATTTGTCTTGTGATGTGTCGCTTATCGATCGCTCCTGACCCAAGCGGCTGGTGGGGGCTCCTCCCCCTTAGTCCCCCGTTGAATAACCAACACAGTGCTGCCGTACTGCAACTGGGGTGCAAATCCCTTCCTGACCCAGGTGTCCGTCCGGTCCATGCAAAGAATCTTAGTGTCTCACATTGTCGTTGTGTTGCTTTCACACCAAAACCGCAGTAAATGCAGTAAATGCAACCCTGTTCAGTCCTCCGTCCTTGGTTGGTCAAAATCCACGCACCAAAACGGCCAGGACCGTCTCTCTCCCCAGCTTCTATCAGCTCTCCGCGAGCCCTGAATAGAGCCACTAACGACATGATGGACTTTGCTCTGAGGCTCTGGAGTCACCAAGTCTCCGCAAGGGTTTTCCTAGTTGGTTGGCGCCCACCCTCGTTAACGTCTGGCTCAGCTACCTTCCTGGACTTTGCAGCCTTGGAGCCGTCAAGCAGCACATGTGTTCTTATACAATGCTGTGCAATGCCCCATGCGGTGATGCGTGGTAATCATTGAGTGGACCATTGGGACATATGTCCAAACCAAAGTTACAAGTACGATAGGACAGGGTGACATCGCACAAGTTGCATTGCTACCGATAGCTGACAATTGCCAAAGAGGCGGATCCACCGAGGAAGAAATCGCCGGGCGCCGGGTAGCCCTTCATCCCACTGATTTAGTGCTTGAGCCTAATCGATCGAGGGCGACATTATCACGCACACGTATTTACTTCAAACCACCATTCCTGGTCCTAGAAGCCAGACACGTCCAACTGCGCGTCATCCTGAAGTATGGCCCAATAGCTGCCAATGTCCGTGACAAACAAATAGGACAACCTGCTATGCTTGTATAATGCGAACAACGCAAAAAAGGCATTCATGCCAACACACCCCTACATGGATGTGCCACATATACACATACACATACACATACACACACACACACACACACACACACACACACACACACACACGAAAACAACTTCTCCTGCGATCGCACCCATTCCTGCAAACAAATAGACCTCGCACGCAATACCATCACTCCACGAATTCTTCAGACTCCTAAACCGTGGAACCCTGCTGTGAGACGGTCATTCATCGTCTACTTTGAGGACATGCATGCATCCGCCACATGTCCACCGACGCGTTATTCGATAGCTGTTTTGACACAGCGAGGAACCAAGCACTACGATACCGCAGCGGTGTAGGTCGGGCAGCACTTCCGGTTCTTGTTGAACAAACTGATTACACTGTGTGTACGGCATATCATCGTACGGTCAATCCATCGGCCATCGTGTACGACGACACACGACAAGAACGTCCAGACAGCAGGTGTAGATCCACACGAGTGCGTGCGGGACAAGAAAGGGATGCGAGGGAATGTGTCAGCAGGTATCACGCATACGTAACCGTGAGTCAGCAGACGTGGCTCATAATAACTATTTATACATGTATGCTATGCGCCGATGTACATGTACATGTACATATGCACAAAACTTGAATGGGGGTCAACAGGGTGAGGCGGTGAACCGATAGCATGGCGCAGAAGCAATTATTTGCATAAGCTAAAGTGTGTGCGTGTAGCCTGCGCGCGCCCCCAATTATTTACCTAACCACCAAAGAACGGACTCACTCCTCGCAACGCATGGCGCATGGGTCTTTAAAACCACGCTACACATGACATGACAATACAATCACACGCCGCAAGGGGGCCCTGGCTCGCTCACCACGCATTGTTTGGTCGATCGCCCAGGCACAGCTGTGACAGCGTCGTGGTGTTCTTCAGCTCAATGCAAATCTCGCCGCCTTGCGCCGCAGACGAGCTCCAGTTGATGTTTGTCGCTGCATGCACGACGTTCAAAGGTGGTGGGGTTTGGGGCCACGATGTCAGTTCTGTTACGTCGTCGCCTAACGAGCCCTCAAATGCACATTCCCAATGTGCACTCTATGCAATTATTACTACGCGCACATCATCCGCGAATGCCACACGCGCCTGTATGTAAGCCTAGACACACGCTCAGTCACCTTTGAGCTGGTTGGCCCCCGAAGGCCCCCACGATGTGGATGCCCAACGGGGAGTGCCGCCGGAAGGAGTCAGCCGGAAGCCGCGGACTTGGCGCC